AAACAATTTAGTGCCATTTACCTCCAGCTGTCCTCCAACCCAGATTATGTTTTCCGCATTAAGCAAAAAGCGCTGGTCAGGGGGCAGTGAGGCATCATAGTATCCCACTGGTTTAAACTGGACTGATCCATCAGAGTCCTGCTGCCAGTTTATGACTTCGTATTGGGCTATTACGCCACCAGTGCTGTCAAACCACACATTATCTCCCATCTTTACAGTGAAATTAACTTTTTTTAGAGCCTCAGCTACCTATTGAGAAAAAAAAAAGCATTTTAACACATTTAAACAGAAATGGTTTATTCTCTTGTTCTTATGTTCCATCTGTCTACCGCTCTCTTTTTAAAATTATATTACCTGCTGTGGTTGTATTAACAGATCTTTTTCACAACCTTCTTTGCACTTGAGTAGACTGTGTAATGAATGAGCAACAGCATAAACTGCGTTGTAGACGTTACTTGCATATCTTTGTTCAGGCACATCATCACTGAAGTTTTTTAGCACAAGCAGATCCCGATATATGTTGCAATTTAATGCATATTGAGAAGAATTTCCCTCAGTGTGTAAGCATGGAAACGCTGTTTCCCAGAATACTTTTGTAACATAATCTTCAAAACCTTCAATATCAATTTTTCTCACCGCAAAACCCAGTGACCCTCCCAGTACATGAAAACTGTTTGGAGTGATCAAACGCTTTGCTGTTATCCATGCTTCCACACCAATCATCTGGAGACCTGTAATGTTTTGAATACTTAGATGTTCAAGTAGGTTGTACATCTCGTAACTGGTAAGAAATGCAACAATCACTTTTGCTGTGCTTTTTTTAATTGTCTCTACCACTTTTTGGAGTTTGTCAGGCTCTGTTCGGTAGAATTTTACAGAGTACTCCACACAAATCCCCTCCTCCTGGGCTGTATTGAGAAATATTGCCATGCCATTGTTTCCATAGTCATTATCAGTATTCACAGTTCCAACCCAAGACCAGCCTAAGTGCTTGACTATGTATGCAAGTGCTCTGCTCTGGTGGTAGTCACTAGCAATAGTCCTGAAGAAAAAGGGGTAATCTTTCCTATTACTGAGGCATTCACATGTGGCTGAGTGACTTATCTGAAAAAGAAAGCACAGGAAACAGTGAAACAGTAATGTGCATGAAGATAGTGGAATGTATTTAGTGTTATTGCCCCTTACCACTGGAATTTTAAAAGGTCCTGTAGTTCTGGACAGAATCACTGTAGTAGAAGACTCTGTTTCTCCAATGATAGCATGTATCGGAGGATGTTTGCATATGTATGTGTCTCCTGCTGCAACATTATGACCATTCATCAATGCCATAGTTGCACTCATAGAAGAGAGTCTTGAACCACAAGTATCATAGATTCTGTAGCCAATAGAAACATTTGGAAGCAAACTTTCACTTCGGTTAATCTCCTCAATGGCAAAAGTCATGGTCTGTGCCCTTCTGAAATCTCTCAGATTCACACTGTAACAACAAGTAGGCAAAATACAACAACAACAATAATAATAATAAATACACACACGCACTGCAGCAAAATGATAATTATGTGTGTGTGTGTGTGTGTGTGTGTGTGTGTGTGTGTGTGTGTGTGTGTGAAACTCTAGCTGTATTAAATACATTATCTTTGAAATGTAACAAACCTGGAGCATGACAGAGGCTGAGGTTTTTTTGTAAACACAAATGAAGGTAATGTCTCTATGCTTCGGATTGGAAAAAGTGCTCCAATAGTCATGTCTCCATCCTTGGATAATAGCGGGTACTTCGGGTCTCCTATCATGTGACATAAATACTTTTCTGCTTTTGTATGAAATTGATGGAAAAGAACGATTGTGTAAAGAAAGACAAGCATCCCAAAGATTGAGCTCAACTGCATATGTCAGATGCATTTGACCTGATAAATCATTTTCATTTTTATAGGCACAATTAATATGGATGATTGTTTGTGAACGTAGCCAGTGACTTCATAGGGCAGTACATGAGGCAGGTCAAGTAGGAGTGGAATAGAGTAAAGGTAATTTCAAAGCATCTATGTCAAAGAATGGACAAGTGGATCAATGCTGCACAATTAAATAGACATTAACACCATCACATTTTCTGCATTTCAAGAAGTGATGTGACATGTGGCCAAGAATTGTCTCATACTCGGAGTTTGTGCTTTGTAGGAGTGAACACACACACACACATGAACACACATTGTGGTGAGCAGCCATTTTTGGTGCAGTGCCGGGGGAGCAGTTGGGGGTTCAGTGCCTTGCTCAAGGGTCTCACCTCAGTCGTGGTATTGAGTATTATTTGTAGTGCTTGGTCTTGTGCGTGGTTGATATAGCACCACCAAATGCAGGCTTGGGTGCGGGTGAGGTTTCTCCAATCTGCACGAAATTTGGTATGGTCATTGATGACATTATGTAGGACAAAGTTCACTTGTTTTTTTCTGACATAAGGAAGTCAGCCATGTTGGATGGAATGTGTGATATTTACATTTTCACTCACTGATTTGAGGGGCTTACCATAGTTAACATATAAAATTGTTTTAAGACATCTTTTGATTTGATACTCAAATTCAGGTGAGACGTGCCTCGTCAGCACCACAGCACCCCCTAGTTTGGAAATGCATATTTAATGCATTTGGAATACGTGAAAACTCACAAAAAATTGCACTCATTAAAGCTTAGCAGGATTTAGCAGTTCTTTGGTCATTTGTTTTGGTCAGTGGATTCCATAGCGCCCCTACCATTAAAAAAATAAAATAAAATAGTGTTGTGGTTGTCACATTCTGTCTCATATTCACACATTTTGGTAGGGACATTGTCCTCAACGTAACAAACATATTTCCTATGAACTTTTACTAGCTCCACTCAACAGGAGGTCGGACATTTTGTATTGTTTGAAAATGGCATTCTGTGGGTTTTAAAACTAAATTGTGAAGGAATTTTTTATATCTCAAATGGTGTTAACATTTTTAACAACATGATTAAGAAACATCAAAACTGGGAAACAAGAAATGTCATATATCTTCTATGTGAATCCTGTGGTTTACATCAAACTTCACACACATATGTTTGGCTTTGTGCACAGATCCCTTTGATGTGGGTAGAGTGGGTCACGATTGTAGTGCCACCAATTGGCATAAGGAAGTAAGCCATTTTAGCTAATTTTAAAATATCCCTTTTTCCTCTTTCTGTAAATTGCTTCAGATGTTTTTATAATAATGACAATGAAGTCCAGATTTCAGATTGTTAAAGGGGACATTGAATGCCCATTTTCTGCAAGTTGGTATGATTCTTTAGGGTCTTCATGAAATGTCTGCAACATATTTTGGTAAAAATTCCTTAATGGTCGTGTAAAACAACACTATTTTTACCTTCTCAAAAACAACTCTGTTCACAGCGACCCATTTCAGTGCATGTATCTTTAAATGATAATGAGCTCTGCTCTCCCTGCCCCTCTCTTCTGTGGCAGAGGAAAGACGATTTGCAAATAATCATAAAAATATAAAATGTGATATTTACTTCTTCTGGAGGTGCAGCTGGATCACAAACAGTGGGCACTGATCCATCCTTGAGTTTTAACTTTTTAGCAAAACCTGCCTTGAATTGTCCCTCCTTCAGAAAGCAGTCTGGAGTAAAATGATCTGTGCAGACATAAACCAATTTAGGTGTATTTGGTGGAGCATTACTATCAAAAACAAAAAAAAATTTTTTTATATATATATATATTTAGGATTGATTTTAAAGTACTTTTACTCGTTTATAAATCACTCAATGGCCTAGGACCTAAATACATAGCAGATATGTTCACTGAATATAAACCTAACACACTAATTGACATACTTTTTCAGTAAGATAAGTGGGTTTTGTTCAAAGTAGCTATTATCCACATAGATCTTTGATATGAATATTTTTTGGTAATTCATTAAAGGGGTCATATGATACAATTTTAAATTTTTCTTTCTCTTTGGAGTGTTACAAGCTGTTCGTGAATAGATAAGATCCCTAAAGCAAAGACTAAAGTCTCAAACCCAAAGACATATTCTTTATAAAAGTTAAGACTCGTCCACGCCCTCCGTGGGGCAATTCCAACTTTGCAAAGGCAGTCTGGTGCTTCTGACTCACAGCCTGTAAGTATGTTTTCATATTTAAAGAATATGCCACTGATGACTCAAACACGAGTTTTGAGCAGTGTAGAGTAGCGCTTGTTGCTTGTCGTTTCTCCGATGACTTATGACTGGTTTTGTGGTCCAGGGTCACATTTGTTCAAAATTTCACTTTGGCTCACCAAGGAAAGATGAAGATTGTAAAAGTTTTAAGGTTTAAAACACTACACAAAACATGACTCTCAGAAAACTCAAAAGTATTACTCATGTATTGTCTTTTATGAGGTGAAGATCTCCAGACCAGAACAATGCAAGAACTTGCTTTGTTGTTCTGACAGGCAGAAATCAACAGATATATCCACCACAGAAAATAAAGTATGTTCAAAATTTTCTAGGAGCCATTAGTCGCATGTCACTGAATTTCAGCTTTTGAGTGAGCTGTTCCTATAAACGACAAGTTAGTTTGAACAAAACAACTCAGATATAGTACCACAGATGTAGTAAAACCAATCAAACGTTGATGAACTGACTAAACAACAGTATGAGTAAAACCACTTTTGTATTTTGATGAAATACATAAGAGTTGTACAGTCAGTTATTCAAGGAGACTCACCGTGCAGGTTCTGAAAAAGCCAAACACACAGGAAGGACAGTGGAATGGCTTGGTGTGTAATTCCTATAAAACAAAAAAAAATTGAAGAGTGTACTGTTGACTGTGAAGTTACCTCAACAAACATGATTTTAAATATTCCAATTAGACATATATACACAAATAACGTGTTCACATCTTTAATGCAACTAGAATAGAAAAATAGCAAAAAAACTAAATATAAAAGTCAAAATAGCAAATAGCAAAAACAAAGTGGACTACTTTCAGTGACAGAATGTGTAATTTTGAAAAAGTCTTTACCATTCAGTGATGTGGCTCTGTTGAAATGCTTATCTCTAAAAGTAAATAGAAAGACATCAAGAACACAGTACTGACTGTATTTCCACAGTGGGTCATTTAGTCTTTTAAACTATCTTGTCAATATTGCTTCAAAACAATTAGTTGCTAATTATATATGTAGCCATGTACTCTCAACGACTTGAGCGAGCAGGAGTCTAAAAAAAAACTTTAACTTATAAGTTAAATTAATAACCTGGCAAATTAATGTAGCATTATTTCATTGACTAGGCTAGATTTGACAATAGATATGTATGTATAAAATTGTTATACAGGCCTGGTGGATTTATGCACGGTGATTTATCTACTTGCTGAGTTTATTCACATAGTTATAATTGCATAATACTTAAACATTGTCTTAAATACAAAAATACAACGTTTTGAAAATAGCTACATAAAATCGTTGAAAAAGGACATTATACATTAAACAGTGTAAAAAAGGCCAGCATGTGTCGGCAATTTACCGTCTTCATGAGCGAGTAATCAAACAGCTGATTCATTCATTCATTCAATGGTAACGGATCGCTAGATATGCGTATACAGTGGTGGCTGATTGAGTGGCAGCTGCCTCTTGCAGTGCAAAGGTTTTACTCCCTGTCCCAAACAGATTTCCCCCACGGTCAAAGTGGGACATTCGCGTGAAAATTCGCCGACCAACGGTGACTGTGACCGTGCCTTAACCAGCTTATTTCCAGTCGAAATGACCGAACATACAATTATGCGCAAACAGGAGACTAAGTTACAAACGTATGATGGAGAAAAGTATGAAATGTTTTAAAATATAACACATTACAGCTATAAAAACTGAAATTTAACATTAAATGTGTAAACACTACTAATTAAAGACATTTTTGCTTACCTTTTCCTCAGCGTAGAGTGGTAGATGACCGTTATGTTTCGAAAGATGCGCATGCGCAGAACTCCGACTTCTTTAGTCAAAATTTAAAAAGGGAATAAGCGTTATCAAAGACTATTTGGCATTATGAATATGATTTCGACCAAATGTTTACCATTTTTAAATACACATATAAGCAGTGGTCGAATTGTAAAAAAAATTCAGGGGGGATGGTGTGGTCAATGTCCTTTCCGGGGGCGGGGGGTTGTGGTATGTAGGTCCTGTAGCTAATTTTATGTAATGATTACAAAATGTGTCTAATTTTTAAAAATGTTTTTATTTAATGAAAAATTAGCCTTATTACATGAACTATTATTTATAAGCTTTTTTTCCCTTCTTGGGCCTAAAAATTGAGGAATTTTGGTCAATAATGATAATTAAACAATATTTTGCTAAATGTGTTTTTGTGCTGAAACCTTGCCTGGTTTAGGCCTGTCATGGATAAATAATGATGACAATAAAACCGCCAGTAGGTGGCAGCAAGTCCCTGTTTTTATACATTTTATTGAATCGTTCAAATCAAACGATTCTTTCAAAATGGCTGATTCAATTAGAAATGAAACAAGCCTGAGTCCCAATGTGCAAACGATCCCATCCTAAATTCTATGTGATATTAGTCATTTTCAATACTATTTAGGCAGATATGGTGGATAGTCCTAGTTGATAGTCCACATTGGGACGCAGGGAAAGTGTCCATTTGAATGGACGGACGGTTCAATCACTGGCTCACTCGATTCATTCAAAAACTGATTAATTCAAGGAACGAAACACTGTGTTGCTATGCACTGTTGTATAAAATTAATAGCACATTTGTGCTTGTGCATGTACTGACATTCAGAAAAGTACATTGATTGTGCAGTGAATATAAAAACATAAAAACTCATACATGGGTATTTTTTCTTTAATTGCTTGAATTATAAGGTTATTTTACCTGTATTCTGACAGGCTTCATCGCGCAGTGATGTGTAATAATCAGTATTTTACATAATACACATTATTAATTCAAAGGGGATAGTCAGGGGGATGGTGGTTTTACTGAGGGGATGCTTTTTGACATTTTTTTCTATCAGGGGGATGCCATCCCCCCACATCCCCCCTCAATTCGAGCCCTGATTATAAGCTAATAACAAGGTGTATCATCATAAATGAGCACTTATTAATCATAAGTGGTATGTACCATTAATGTACAATTGATAAATCATATAGATCAATAGTATGAACTTTATTTTATTTAACTTTAATTTTACTAACTAGCCTATATAGCCTAAGTAACTTTGCAACTACGGTACATTTCAACAAACAAATGAAGATACAAGGGACTACAATTAAGCAGTAAATGGGAACAAACTAAAAGTTAACATAATACCACAGTGTTAAGCTAAAAATGCACAGTATTTGTTACATGTAGCTAACATGTGATCCACATGTTAAAACCTATTATAACACATGGAAACATTTTCCACATGGGATCCACATGTTAAAACCTATTATAACACATGGAAACATTTTCCACATGGGATCCACACGTTAAACCCTATTATAACACATGGAAACATTTTCCACATGTGATCCACAAGTTAAACCCAATTAAAACACATGGAAACATTTTCCACATGGGATCCACATGTTAAAACCTATTATAACACGTGAAAACATTTTCCACAGGTTAAACCCTATTATAACACACTGAAATATTTTCCACATGTGATCCACATGTTAAACCCTATTATAACACACGGAAACATTTTCCACATGTGATCCACATGTGCCACATGTGCTCTTATGTTGCAACATGTGGTGACATATTGTCTTCATGTGATCACATGTCAAAAATATATGGACACAAGTGATCACATGTGGGAAATATATGGACACATGTGATCACATGTGGAAAATATATGGACACATGTGATCACATGTGGAAAATCAGCAGTTTGAAAAGTGCCCGAAAGAGCCATGCTTGCTCTGTTTCTCCATCGGCGCAGCCTTTGTCTATTTTTTTTATTTTTTTTTGCACTTTGTACTTTTGGTGAAAAATAAATGTAGCGAAGTTGAACAATTTAGTTTTATTCTACTCAAGTAAAAGTAAATGTACCACAATTTAATTATACTCAAGAAAGTAGAAAAAATTTACTCAAGTACTGTAATGAAAGTATTTGTAATTAGTTACTTTCCACCTCTAACCAGACCTGTGAAAAATTCGAAAGTTATGTAGTGTTGGGTTGTGGACAAGGGGCTCTATAGCCCCACCCAATGCAGGCTGTGGTCGGGATGAAGTTTCTCTGATCTGCACAAATTTTGGTATGGTCTTTGATGACTTGTAGGACAAGGTTCTGGATTGTTAGGGTCTTCATGAAGATTTTTTTAGGGGCTTACCATGGCTAAAACCTTATGAAAGTTAACAGATAAATTTGTCTTAGGACATATTTTGTTTGGATAATGCTATTCAGGAGAGACTTGTCTCATTGGCTCCACAGTGCCCCCTTGTTCGAAAATGCATATTTCATCCCTTTGGAATACGCAAAAAAAATTTGGTCATTTATTTTGGGTCTGGCCAGTGGATTCCATAGCCTCCCAGACATTTCCAAATTTATTTATCACTTTGGTTGCCATTAATTTTGTCTGATATTCACACATTTTGGTAGGTACATTGTCCTCAACATGACAAACATATTTCAAGTCAGCCATTTTGGATTGTTTGCAAATGGCACGCTGTGGATTTCGAAACACAACTCTTAGGAAATGTATGTAAGTGGCACCAAGCTCCAGTAAAGTCATGTCAAGACACAGAAAATGTTTGATATCTCTAACGGTTTTGCCATGGCAATGCAATAAAAACATAAAAAATGGGAAACAGGAAATGTCCCCCATCTTCCACGTGCATCCTATGATTTACAACAAACTTTACACACATATGTTTGGCTTTGCAGTTAACTCTTGAAAGTTAACAGATAAATTTGGCTTAGGACATCCTTTGATTTGACACTTCAGTTCTGGCTCGATGTGCCTCAATGGCCCCACAGCACCCCCTAGTTCAAAATGCAAGTCCCTTTGGAGTAGGAGAAAATTCACAAACTTTTGCACACTCATAGAAGCTTAGTTTAGTAGTTATTTGGTCATTTGTTTTGGGTGTGGTCAGTGGACTCCATAGCACCCCCTAACATTTCCAAATAGCACTATGATTGCCACAGATTTTGTCTGATATTCACAAATTTTGGTAGTGCAGAAGGAAGTAGGGCATTTTTAGGGCATGACAATAAAGTACAGATTTCAATTAGCAATGAATTTTTAATATCTTAAATGATGTTGCCATGGCAACACATTAAACATTGTTATCGTTTTTATGTTTAGTCATGTCTTTTTGAGGTACTTGTCATGCTTTAATTATCATGATCCTTTGCACACTCGTCAGAGTCATCTGGCATTATGGCTTGGCCAAGGTTCATACATGGGTGTGTAGAGTGGGCTCTTCAGCGGCAACTAGAAATTGGACATTTTCAGAGTACTCTGTAGCACATCCCTTTTCAGCTACCGTCACCAAGCTTTCTTCATATATAGATCCCATCAAGGTGCACAACTTTCACACCACAGACATTGGCTCCGCCCAACAGGAAGTCAGCCATTTTGGATTGGTAAACAGGAAGCGTCTCATATCTTTTGTATAAATTGTGTGATTTACATTAAACTTTACACAAATGTTTGGCCTTTTGGGCTGACCACATTTATGTGTATAATATAGGTCAATGATGTAACACCACCAGCTGGAAGCAGTGTTGCATTTGCAGCAGTCTTTGGGGAAAAAATCAATTTATAAACGAGCAAAAACATGATGATGAAACTGATGTAGAGTGTGACGAAATCCAAACACAAGCGGTCATAGGAGATGCATTCAAAATGCACATTTGCCAGCTGGAAACGATAAACACATCTCAGCTGACAGCTTGTGATTTAATCAGCAAAAATGCACTTTCATACCCGGGAAACATGGCTTCTCTCTCACTTGCTCAATTTCTGGGATATTGTATATCATTTTTGTGCATCAGGGAGCCGCTAACAATATGTGGGAGAATCCCAGACCTTCCAGGAGAGGTGGTATTCTGTCATTGTCAAAAAAAAAAAAATTATAATATAATATAGTATAATTGTTGTTTGCCTTGACATTGATAAATGTTATATACGTATGTATATATATATATATATATATATATATATTTAAATACACAAATTAAATATTATTCTCTACATAAAATAATTTATAAACTAAATTGGCCAATCAGAGCTCAGTATTAAAGAGCTGCACGCGAGCTCACGCATGTTTTTGTCATTTTTCGAGGTACCCCTCACTGCAGACTGTAGCGCGGTGACATCATGTATTTTGACGTATTGCATGTCTTAGTGCGCATGTGCAAAGTGACGTGACGGCATAACTTGTTAATGCTTTACTGCGCATGCACATCTTACTCGTGTTATTACTAGCATTTTTATTATTTTTTTATTATTTAATACTTTAGATTTCATGATTTTGATCGTTTTCAAAAGTTTCATTAGGGGGAAAATGATATAATTATAAATAATTATAGAGAATACTCTGATCTCTATTCTTAATAGATGCTGCTTTCTGTACAGCGGTTACCGTGGAAACAGCTGTATTTCTGCTGATCCATAAGTGCCACCTGCTGTCAGACAGTGGATATATGCTTTTATTCAGTCTGTCTGCTGTTTTTTCTTCATACCAATGCGAAAATCGGACCAAACTTTTGTTGTAAGTCTTAACCGGTAGATGGAAAACAAATTATTGTGCATTCTAAAAATCTCAACACTTTAGATAATAAGGTAGCCTATGTAGAATTGTTTATGGAGTCGATCAAATGCCTATAATGTATAATTTTGACTCATCCTTTTCTTTAAAAAAGGATTTAAAGGCTGAAATGTGAGGTTTATCATTCTATAAAACTTTTTTTCTATGAAACTTTGCCTTTTCCTCTATCATTGTTTTTATTTATTTTT